TACTACTACTACTACTACTACTACTACCACCACTCCACTGCTGCACTGCTACTGCTACTGCTACTCCTACTACTACTACTACTTCTACTACTACCACTACTACTAATGTTAATAACAATAACTACTAACTACTAAGACTACTAAGTACCAACTACTAACAACAAATTATCCCACTAACTACAACAACAACTACTACTACCACTACTGCTACTACTACTACTACTACCAATACTCCTGCTGCTACTAGTACTACTACCACCACTAGTACTAGCACCAGAACAAACACTACCACGACTCAAAAAACGGTACTTGTTGGCCGGTTTGTGTGAAGTGGCATCAAAAAACAACGACGGGGCTGCAGTTTTTGTTTCGACCCTCTTGTAGAGACAAGGGAAGAAGATATGCTATAAATATGTTATAACGTGGCTACAGCTTTTGTTTGTACCTTGTTGTTGCTGTTGTGGTTTTAAATAGAACCCCATTTAACCATGCCTATTAACATTGACCATGTATTTTCCATCCAACAACCACCCAAACTGCGTGGTGCTGGTACTTGTTGTGACCATCCAAGTAGTGGTCGGTAGATTGTCTTTTTTTCAGCATGTGCACATTTTTTGAACTTGAAAGGTGAAGCGCCCATTAAGTCTCAGTTCTCCATTAAGGGGTTTGTGACTCTGATGGCTGTTCGTCCAAATCCAATATTCAACGAAGTATCGCATAAACATACAATACATTAATGGATTGGAATATGATTATGATGGACTATGATGGAATCAATAATGCCTCCAACTACTCCAAAGCATTCACTGGTCGGCATGTGTGTAAAAGTGCCATAACCATAATAAATGCACACCCATACCGTTTTTTTAGAGGAGCGGAAACTACATTTTTTGTCAAATTTGGTGGGGATGGTGGGGAGTGCCTGAGGCGTTTGCACTGCGGTCAGCTAGTCCTTGATGAAAAACGAGCAGTGTGTTGCATGTTCGGCCAGGTCTTCCGAGATGCCTTTGCCAAAGATGGAGGCCAGATCCGGTCGAGGAGAGGGAGATTCAAGGCATTCTCAACAGATGGCGAAGAATGGCGACATGGTGAAACATGTGACAACACGCGCTTGAAGAGGCAAGGACCACAGGGGTTGATATTATGAACATATGTGATTATTATGTGTTTAAACATATACAATATGATGCGGTATATTAATGGTAAGATAAAGTATGCAGGCAAATAATGATATTGATTATGTTGTTCTTAAGTATCATATAATATGTATTGTTAAATCACCTATCTATATGTATCATGTCATCCCTGATTCCAAAGATCCCCCTTCAAACCTCGTCCTGTCCACCCCCCACCGTCACTCCGCCAGGCTGGCACCGGGCCGAGTGATGCTGATCGTTGCGTTGTAAGTCGGCGATGAGGTTGGTGTGGATGGGTCGGTGAGGAAACACCACATGTCATGATAGGACAGATGAAGACATCCTTTGCATCTTTTGGGTACTGTAAATGATGGCCAAATTACATATTCTATTTCATTCTATGTCGAGGTTTCTCAATCAACCGTTCAAGATTTAAGTCACGGGAGACGTAATCGGACGCCAAAGACCACCCAGACCGACTGTAGCGCCCTTTGAGCTCTGAGCAGCTGTAGTAAGTAGCCCGCTGAAGACTCACATGGACCCTGAAAACCACGGAAAACGTTTTTTGGGTGCCATTCTCAGGGTCCATGTTAGTTTTCGGGAGTGTATAGTAGTTATCAGGTTGTTTCGCTCCAGTCGCCACGGGAATCAGAGATTTCTTGGACGTTGGAGCGGTCGGTGGAACTCGGCGGTCGGTCTTGCCACGTTAAGCTTCTTCAGCTGTTCGTTCTTCCATGTGGAGGCCAATTTGCACGCACCATCGGCAATCAGCAGCGTCAACGCTCTTGCACCGACCGCCGAAGACGACGCTTCCGCCGTCGTTGATGATTCCGGCGCTGGGATTTTCCGCGACCGACCCCGGCGCCTTCGTTGCGACCGAGTTCGTGGAAAAGACGAGTTCGGCCAGTTCGGAGGTGGTGCCTGAAGGGCGCAGAAAACTTCCGCGACGCGGCTCCCAGGTGCAATATGTCCAGACAAATCCCGAGGGCCGGCGTGAAACGCCTTCCGAGGAGTTGCCATTGGGATGACATGAAGTGGAAAAGAGGAGAACTGCGCGAGGTGGCAAAAGGTTGAAAATATGGAAACTGGTGTGTGTAATGATCTTAAAGCATAAAACATAGAACATAAAAACATGTTTTTGCAGACTTGGCCAGAATCCGTGCCTGAAGAAGGTGATTCCATGCTTTGTTGGACCCATGTGAATGCGTGAATGCTGGTGGTTTGGGGGGCCCTTCTCGGATGTGTTGGGTCTAGCCGAAGGCGGTCGATCCATTCGGATGTGACAGGGGACCCTATAGTGAAGTGGGTTCACGTTGTTCACGATCTTCCAAACACTCCATGTATATGGAGTATAAATATATTGACCTGTATATACCAGGACACCCGGACTAGGGCTTCTATTGATAGCCCCTTAGATGTTGAGGGGTGTCCATTCACCACCCCTTGCTGGTACACCTACATAATGTACTCGTTATGTAGATATATATATATATATAATGAAATATAACATGACCCATGGACCCTGGAGTGGTTGGGTGTATTTGTGTATCTCGCTCCCATGAATGAGTTGAATCCTTGGCAGCTGCTAAAACGCGATCCTTTAAGACAAGCCAGCATATGATTTTGTGTGCTATACATCCAAATGGAAGGCTGATCATGTTCTTTGCAAACAATAGTTTTGTGGAGGTGTGGGGGAGTAATGACAATAAGTTTCAAGAGCTCAAGTATGCTTGGACATCCCAGCACTCCCAAGAACAGCCCATATCACACGTCGTGAAACACGTCCTATACAGGGACTCTGAACATCCATTGATGGACCATCGGACCATTTGCCTTAAGTCGCTTTTTGTTGCACCATCTTGTTGAGGATCTCCAACGCTTTTGGCCCAAAACGCCTCCGACCTCACTGACCTCGTTCCACGCCCGACCGCCGTTCCATGCGGCCACAGACCTCGCCACCTCGCCTCCACCTGACCGAGGTCCCTCCGGAAATCCCCGAGGACGCCATGGGCTTCATGCAACAGTGTCTCATCAAGGCCCGAGTCCCGTCCCGCCGAGCCCTTCGAGCGTTCGCGCGGATGGTCGGATCGATGGATTTTCCAGGAGGATTTCCGGGTGATTCCGGGCGGAGGAGATCGAGTCGGCTGTTGGGAACAGATGTTGGAGTTTGTTGGAAGAGGATTTTTCCCCAACAATCGTTTGGAATTTTTGCTCGTACTGTACTAACCCTTAAAGCATCTTCAAAACCATGCCAATGTAGGCAAGAAATTCCATATATATATATATGCATGGATTGTTTGGGATATATAGGACATCAAGTGGGTCTAAAAAGAACCACGTGATTTGGATGAACTCAGGATGCCGTGATTTTTGCCAGTGGCAAACTTGATGCTTTTTCGGTGGGTTTGGAGCGGTGGGCCTGGGTTTTGGAGGGGACCAAGGTGTTTGCTCTTTGAGGGAGGAGTAACTCCTTCCACCAGAAGGACGAACTGAACTGGTTTGAGAGGCCCGGATTTCCCTAATCCCTCGCAGCTACCTCCGGCGCAGCTACCTCGGAGGTTCGACTTGGGGTCGTCGACTTGGGTAAATGGTCGAACCTAAGAGCTGCAGTGGCCCAATTTGGGGAGCTTGAGGCTGCAAGTGAGGGTCATGACTCATGAAGCCCTAGGATAGAAAACCGTAGAACCATGTATAGAACCTATTTCCTTTTCAAGGCCCCTAAACGAGTCTATCTCCAAATGTCTCAGCCAAGAACAAGAGAAGTAGACAAGACCTACATTGAGGAATATTAAGGAATTGGAAGAATGCGGTATGGTGGTCATCGACAAGCAGCTGCCAAAGGCTAGGATATGCTGGGATGAGTGGTTGGAGTATTCCATCAACCTGCCCAAAGGTACGGGAAAAGGCAACAACACTCAATCCCTGAAGTCCATTGTGTTGCATCTACGATCTCGTGGCAAATGTGAGAGAACCTTCGCACACCTTGCACTCCCAATAGTTGCTGGGAAGCCATTATTGGTGTTGAGTCAAGAGGTAATTGCAGTTCTTGGGATCAATTTGAGGTCCGGCCGGGGGAAGTACAGCCAAGACAAGTTACACAGGAAGAGCATAGAAAAAACAACACATGATCAAAACAGTAGCGACAGAAGCACAGCCCGGTTCCGAAAAAGAATCACATAGGGAAAATTATGATATGATTTGAACATCCATACCAGAGCCCTCCACGGGGTGTTCATTCATAGCTCCAGAGAAGAGGTTGAAGGGGTGTCCACTAACCATCCCTTGTGGGTGCTGGTATCCCTACAGTCCAGTCGGACGTCATTTTACAATGAACTTTTTCAGGACCTGTTTCTACTAGCTTCTTGTTACTACTAGTAAGGCACTTGTTACTAGTAGCGATGCGCTTGTTACTACTAGCTTCTTGTTTCTATTTGGACCTGGTCACACTGGACCTGCCACTATCCACGGACCTCGCTCCACCAGGACCCCACTCTGAGGCCCTCGGCCGCTGAGGCCGACCGCGGCTTTGGCAATTGTTTGTCATGGTTTGACAAGAATCATCCACTGTTAGATTGTTACATGTTAAACCTTATTGTGGCCTCTTTGTTTGTTGGCCTGTATGGTCAAGGAAAAGGTTCATGTAAATGACTACTACGTACTATCTGTGACTGTAGAGATGTCGGCACCAAAGAAAACTCATCCTCCACTGCGCCCGCTGGTGGGAGAAGAGGTAGCTCGGAGAGGTAGCTCCACCGATGGGTCGTGCGACCGGAGCCATGACGCATAGACATGACGCATTGGTTGTATCATATCAGGTTCCCATGGAAAACCAATCAGTATAGGAGCACCCAGTTTGGGTGGTGATTGGACAATACATGGTCAGAGGGGGTCTATAGGTGATCCTGTGATCCTTTCGGTGCTGTTAATCATAGTCGTCCATGAATCCTGGTAATCCTGGCTGTTCTTATTCTTTGTTCTTTTGGTCCCAGACTCCAGATCACTGAAATCGACGTCCGTGTGACTGTCACGACGCCAGCTGGGACATCACCACTGGCTCCAAAGCAGCGGCGGCATCATCTCCCAGGCGGACGCTGGAGATCTCCCGAGTCCTGGGGACCGGCTCATGGGGGTCCGACTAGTCCTACTACGAACGCACAGACATCAGACGGGTCTTTTCGTAGATCCTATTGTGTCCTGGAAAAGACGCCGGTCGCCCCTGCAAAACCTGGAAGAAAGCCACGTGGTTTTGGATTGTCGGATTTTCTACCAGGAGATACCAGGAGACCCTGAACATGCCTTGCGGGTCTAACCTCAATTTGAGAGCTACCCACCTTCAACTAATGGCATTTGCCGAAGGATCACTGCGTTTTTGGAGGGATTCCAGCAATTGGGGAGAACATAATCTAGCGATCCATTCGAACAGCAAAGTCAAACATATCTCCCCTAAGAATCAAGGACCCTCAAAGGAGCTTTATTGTGTTTTATTATCTTGGCCCCGTGCAAGCTTAGTCCCTTAGTCCGTCCCTTGTACTATGGCACATTGACTGTCATTGACTCCACAAGCCGCTTGATTTGGGTGTTCAGATTCTCCGGATGCTTGGTGTGTTGGTCCTCGAGATCTGTGTCACATGTATCTTCCTCCGTATTGGCCTCCCCAATCCCAGGGGTTCGCCGGCCGCTTCTCCCTCCGACAGCGTCCCTTCACCGGGTCGACCAGGTGGATGAGGATTCCATGAAATCCCTCGTAGGTCGAGGACGGATGAAGCCAGTGGAGCCGCGGTGTGTGGTGGGTCTTCTGGGTCGATGGTTGTCTCGTAGGTCGATGTGTCTCAGCATGTCAGCATTCAATCACCAGACCTGGCTTAACTCAAGGATATGGGATTTCGCCGGCGAAAAGCGTCTTAAGAGTATGGTATTATTGTACCTATTATTATATGGGTGTGAGTCCAAACCTGGAGCCCGCAACTCACCCTGGTAGGGTTGACCATGTTTGGTAGGTGGTCAACGCGGGTACCCCGGTTTTGACCCACTGCGTCAAGATCTTGACAGATTCAGACATTGACCCCCAGGATGACATTCTTAAGAAGGACTTTTGTACTGCTGTTGGAAGAAGCGTGGGTAGATGATGGTAGATGTGGGTCGATGATGGAAGATATGCATTTGTTGATTGTCAATGGGTTGCATCTTTTTGCCATAGTTCCATCATGTTCTATCAGCGTATGTTTATTTGCGGATAACCCAAGATCCCGCACGGTACTGCGAGTGGGATCTAGGAAACCCGGCGCAGTTTAACCCGCTCTGATTTCAAAAATTTCGTGCGACAGCTAGAATCAGGGTTGGACGGAGCGCTTCGACGAGATCCGAGAACCCAGCATTAGTACATATATTTATATAACCATATCAGAGAGTGGTCCCCTCCCCCGGCAGCCTTTTGGGGTCCTTGTGCTTGTCGACCAAACTGGAGGCTAGCTACCGACCGGATGACGGATCGACCAATTCGCTCTGCTGGCCCAATCGGTCGCTCTGCTGGGTCCGAAGGGTTCGCACATGTTGGTTCTTCCAGGGCGGGCTGCCCTGGCGGATTTGGATGTTCATCCGCATGGGTGAAGAGGGGAGGGAGCAGGGCCGAGCAGGGCCGCAGGACTCTGGTTGGAGGCTACTGGTACTACGTAACAAGAAGCTACTATAGATGCTACTAGGGCATCACTACTTAGTAACAAAACCTCTGCCTTTCTTTCGGACCCGTGCCAGTTGGACGCCGGGTTGGACTCTCCTTGCGACCGCTCCGTGCCAGGCCCTTGCACGCTTTCTGGTTCGAGGCGCTTCGGACCCAAGGCGCAAGACGCGAGACGCTCGGGACGTTTGAATTACCCGGCCACTGGTCCATGCAGGCCATGTAGTCCTGCATGTAGTCCTGCATTCGTATACCAGCACTTTCCAACAGGTCTCCGGAGACCGGAGAGGCTTTGCAGACTGAAAAAATGACTGGTGTTGGTCACAAAAGCAGGGCAGTCCTATGTAGTGGGAGTGAAGGGAAGAACGAGAACATGAAGCCTTCCTCCATGAAATTCAGCCCTTCTTTCACTTCTTTCAACCTATTAAGTACTTCACAGCACCTATACTGGCATGAACAACCCAGGTTCCACTTGGACACATCACAACATAGACACGCTCCATATTAATGTAGACTCTTGATTAATAAACCCTCCCATTTGAATGCACTCACTTGCGGACTTACGTACGCGACCACACATACCCTTGTCATGTTGTATGACGGGTGTTGGTGGTGATGGGCAGTGAAAGATGACGTATGGAACTCGGGTGGTCCAAGTGAAATATGTACAGAAACATCAAAAGTGAAAACGAACAGCAATTGCGAACCGGGCATAAGGCAAAACAAAGATCCTTGCTCACTAATTGGTTGCACTTCATGCACAAAACGCATCTAATTGCCAGGGGCATTCGGGTGTCGTATGGTGTCATTTTTTTTGTGACGGAAAAGGGCATATCGCACATGTTGAATGAAGGCATCCTGTTTTTCACCTGGGATTTCCGGGAGACCCTCCCATTTGAATTGGACATGCTCTTCATATCTCTTCATATGGGGTTTATTAATCAAGAGTCTACATTATATCTTATTATGATGCTTGATATACTTTGATCTATCTATCTTTGGAGGAGGGCAGTTCTATTAGGTTGAACGGTTTCCAACCTTTTCCGCCGACGACCACGCCAAACCGTGTCCCACCGGACACCGTGTCCCACCGGACGGCTCGGACGCACGAAGTCCTCCGCCTCCCTCATGCCAGGTCAAGCAATTCCCAGCCTACGTGCGAGGGCTTCGGGGCGACCAAGCAGATGGAGTGGAGGCGCCGTGGTGTTCTTCTTTTGGAAGTGGATGATTTGGGTTTGATTTGGGATTGATCTGGATGTCATAGTCGTTGATTGTTTGTTTTTTCCGGTTGATTTGGAAGTGGAGTAGTTGTCATTTTTGTTTGGAAGAGACATTAGGAGTGGAAGCTTCCCAAAAACCAACGGCGTCGCTTGTTCATCCATTTGTGGGTTCACCAAAACGTTGGTCACATGATTGGGGTATTTGGGAACTTGGTCGCTCATCCTCCCCGAGCTGAGCCAGCGCTTAGCCAGCCGCATGTGAAAACCAAACTGAGCCTTGCCGTGGTGGACTGGGGGGTCAGAAGTCAGAACTTCCTGCTGGGAAGCTCGAAGAGAAAACCCGCCAATGCCAGAGCAGCCGGCGATCGCTCCATGGTTCAAGATCCCATCGCTGGGAGATCGCAGCGATCCGTGGCTGGTTTCCCTTGGTTTTTGTTCAGCAGTTCGAGGCGCATCATGTGAACGGTCGTGAACCTAGTTGTGAAGCTATGTGGAGACTGTCCGTTGGTTCTCTGATGTTCTCGACCGCCTTTTGACCGTCACGATGCGTCACCAAACAAGCTTGTTTTTAATTCAGACCGTCTCAATGTCATCCAAGAGTCAGCTAGCATTAGCATTAATTATATAGCTACAAGCATTCAGGGTGGGACCTAAGAGGCGATGATCCTCTGTAAAAACATGGGATCTGATGACGCTCATCTGACTGGTGCGACGAAAGTCGGGAAATGAGAGTGTTTGGATCGAATGGAATCTCTATTGCGGACGAGCTCCTTCCCTTATTCCCTACGAGTCGGACCAGTCAGTCATGGGACCTGCGATGTTGTGGCCGCGACGTCATGAGTTCGTCCTCGTCGCGAACAAGGACCGGGGAGAGACGCGACGGTTGGCCGGATAGTTTGCTGGCCCAAGGGTGGCACCGTTTAGGGATCCAAACAATCTGACGAACTCACAATGGAAACAGCCAGTGGTAAGATCTGGTATCGGTGCCGGATAAAAAGTCCGGCATCGGTGAGCCAAGAGTTCGGTAGTTGTGTCTTGTCCAGAAGTGATTTGACCTCAAAGATTGCATGGGTTATGTCAGTGTTTCATTCAATCGCCTGCGAGCTTTTCAGGCCATTGATCTAGCGTCATGCATCAACAGTATCTTTGGCCTGCCATTTTGCGTGCGAAATCAGACATCGGCGGCGACGCTGCCAGCGTTGGGAACCCGAACCAAGAAGTGTCAACACAGTGGATGAAGCCTCCGTTCCATCCCTATCTCCATCAATTTTGTGTTGGATTTTCTTATTTGTTCAACATGTAACATGCGGGTCATGCTGCTCTTGGATGCCTTTGATGAATGCGTTTGGGTGCTACTGTAGTCTTTCGTAGATAACAGGAGTGGGGTAATTCTAAGCGTTTTGCTAGATAATCAGGCACAAAACCCTTGTTCATTCACTTGAATTCACAAATTGAACCTGCATCAGCCCTTACTCTCCACATTCCCCAGCGGCCGTGCACGTCTGCGATGGTGCGTGTGATGAGCTTGAGTGGTGCGGAGATCATGAGCCGGACAGAGGTGCTGCAACTGGAAGAGCTTTGGACAGAGGCCTGGGAGAGCTTTGCGACTGGGGAGTCGTGGCAAGCTGTGGCAGGGGATTCGAGAATTGATTGAACAAAGAAGGAGAGGAGGTGATCGGCCCGAACCGTGGGTTTCGGGGTCGCAAGATGTGTGATGAATGAATTCGAAGTGGCTTAAGGGTTCCGAATACGTTGATTCGAGTGGCTTATACAATACGTTAGTAGCTGGCCTGGCTGGGCAGAATTGGACGCCGAATCCAATCTCCAAATCTTCGTATTACTGCTACCAAAGTACTTTGGCCGTTGGGTGTGTGCCTGCGTCGTGTGTTCGTTGGTATTTTCAACCAATGGTGGCTGCCTTCGCTCCAGGTGGCTGCCGCCCTGGGCCACCATTGCCGGCTGCTTCGTGGCGGAGAGGAGTTGACCGACGCCATGACGGAGATCGCGGTGGAGGACGAGCTCACCGCGATCATCTGCAGCATCGAGCCGTGGATGAAGATGTGGCCGGGTCAAGAACGAACGTGTGGAATTTGGCTTTGATGGACCCCCGTACATCGGCGACCTGGGGGGGGAGGGTATCTATATACAGGTATAGGAAGAAGAACGATCGGCTAAGAGTCACTGATTCTTCTTGTGCAAAAAAGAACTTGAGAAGTTCCTAGTTGGGGTGAGATTATTTCAGACCCATCCTTTGAGAGAATGGGCATCCATCCTCCATTGACTCCATCTTTGGACTTCTGGTAGTGACCTGTCAGCTCCGAAGCGAGGATGTTTCTTTCCAGCTGAGTGAGGTTGGGTCTTCTGCAGGAGGATGGCACTCCCTTCTCAGAGGCTTACAGTCGAGGAGACTTGGAGACCATGGCGCTGAAACTGGGACGTGCAATCCTTTCGATCGCCTGTTGCTTGAGCAACACAGGATGAGTTGCCGATCGCCTTTTCGCCTTTGGTGGAGGATGGGATGGGATCTGGTCCGAGAGTAGGGTTAGTGTCAGGTAACTTCAGTGAGGAAGCATATATAATTACACAGAATGCCATCTTTGGGAACCTCCCTGTCACTGCAACCAGCAGAGTCACGTCAGCCTATTTTGTCGAGTGAATCATTGATTGAGCTGTTATAACTGAGACAATCCATGTATGTTATACATTGACTTCCAAACCACCCCAATGTAGGCAAAGTTGGTATAGTATAGACGGCGTGTTTGGGTAATGGCTCCCTTCAGACGACTCAGGTTGCCACGGGCGCGTTGGGCATTTGGAGGGCTACCTCTCTGTCGATTGGCCTTTTGGCACTGCCATGCCCAAAGCCTTTGCGGAGAGCACACGGCGCAAAAGAGAAGGCGAACTCCTGTCCCTCGCTGAGCACCGAACACCTGACCCCAGCGGAAATAGGATGAATTAGGTCTTAGGTGCTCCTGACCCCAGGTGTTCGGTGTGTGTTTTTTTTTCGATCAAACCAAAACCAAAACCGGGCGGGGGGGCGTCTCTCTTCCGTCCGGGGACGTCTCTCTCGTGTCTTGTCCCTGCGGCAATCGGTGGTCCTGAAGGTCTTGGTAGACAAGAGTACGGTGGTTGGTAGACCATGAAGAACCCCCCGCAACGTTTAGAAGAGAAATCCTCTTCATATGGGGTGGCTCCTTTTCATATGGGGTGGCTCCTCTTCATATATATATGGGGTGGCTCCATAAAAAAAATACAATCCAGACATCTGCATGAACAAGTTGTATCATTTACGTTCATTTACTTAAACTGGGTATCCACTCTTTGAAGAGTCACGATGCGTCAGTCGATGCGTCAAACGACGTGCCTTTGCTCGCACGTCGTTGGCACGTCGTTGGGCGCTCTGAGGTTGACCCCTGACCGTGAGATCTTACCTGCTGGCGCTCGGCTTCGGATCTCGTGCGCTGAAGGGACTCACGGAGAGGAAAGTGTCAGGACGGTCGGTGTGTGTGTGTGTGTGGGTGGGTGGGTGGGGGGGTATAGGAGCCCTCTTTCCTCACAAAGACCAAGTATACGAAATACAAAGGAGCGTGACAATCCAAGACTTCCAATTCGAAAGGGATGGAATTGAGGTCCTACGAGTGGGCATGAGTGGCACCCCTATACCCTGTAACATCCTGTAATCACCGCTTCTTGCTCAGAGACTCCGAGGTGTAATTCTGAATAAAGACCCGCTCGACATTCCTCAGACCCCACAGTCCCACACCAAAACTGGCCTTCTTTCTTAGTGAGTGGGCAGGCGCCTTCCGGCCACCCGGTGGCCGCTTTCTGATCGTCTCCACCTCGACCTCGTCGGCGAGGACCCTGTCCAAAGCGATGACACTGCAGGACCTCCTCGAGCTCCAGCGCCGCAATCCGCTGGACCGCGCCCTGTCCACCACGTCGACGGCGTCCAACGGCGTTCGCGAGTTTGCGCGGGAAGGGCATTTTGGAGCAACGAAGGACTCCTGTTGTGGGATGTTGTGGGTCTGTAAAGGCTCTCCATGATCTTCAGCTGCTTTTGAGTGTCAAGTTGGCAAGCTGGTTTAGTATTGGAGGGTATATAGTGCCATGTGGTGCCTCCCATTTGTCAGCGGACTATGCAAACATACGTAAGTTCCACTATGTTCCACTCAGTTGAAACTCCTGGTGTGCTTGCTTCACTTTTGGAATTCCAGGGGAACGCAAGAAAGGAGAACCGTCGGGTTTGGATGTGCTTCAAAAAAGCTTGGACTTCTCGTTCTTCCAGAATTACTGAAACAGATCTGAAACTGTTCTTCTCCTCAGTTATGTGGACTGTTGATGAAATGTGTAAAACCCCAAACCATTCTGGTGAGGGATTGGAAAAAAAGATATGTCTTTTTCACAGAGAAATGACCGTCAGGAAAAAAATATATTTCCACTAGAATATCTAGTATGATGGTGTAGCCACCCCCCCCCCAGGGGTAGTGTTCCCCCTTTATAGCTGATATGTGGTAGAACATTAATAAAACCAATTTATGTTTCAAATTTAGTTATTTTAGCAACCATTTTGTAAATTCCAAAGATAGCCGTTAAACTGTAGTGCAACTATATGGGTAACTGTTGACTTTTAATAACCTTTATAATCCTTTTATTTGAACAACACGTGTACCTAAACAATAAAGACAACGGACAAATAATAACATAAACAACAAAACACATCTAAATAGACTTTTTTCGTTTGCTTGAATGTTGTAGTAAATGTGGTGTTTCCATGAACATACATGCTTTTCAGCATTATGGCGTTTGTTTTGTTCAGAGACTAAGTATTGTTTAATTGGTCAAAATAAAACTGTAAACATATACAGTGCAATATGTAAGAAGTTGGTGATATATATATATATAGTATACACACTCTTTTTGCAAATAGTTTGTTATCAACATATTGGAAGTGCCCACGTAAAATTCAGCGCAGGACTAAGGGTTGAAGTGTTTATTGTGTTTATGTAATTGTTTTAGATATTTTTTGTGTATTACTCAACAGTCAACATTGGCAAACTCGTTAAAATGTTTGTGTAACATCTTTGGTTTGTTACTCAAAGTCAGCATTAGCCCTTCCCAAAAGTCAACAGATGCCAAGAACGTCAGGGGCTTAAAAGAAGCCTCACAGGTTCACATGTCCGAGATCCAACAGCCGAGCTACGCAGAGCTACTGCATGAAACAACTTCTACCCACCACCAGTCACGATCTCACGAGCGATTCAAGCACATTTAAATCCACTGATGGTGACTTCCACTGCTGAAACCAGGTGAAGAGATGATCAAGCTCTTGGCCTCTCCCAAGGCCGTGGAGTGCCAGGCGGAGGAAGTGCATCGCTTGGTCAAGGTCGTGGACTTCGAGCCGCCCGAGGTGCACTTGCAGCTTGCCTATGACGCTTGGACGACCCACGACGGGCCCATGGGCGGCCAGGGCCATGGTCCACCGGGCCATGGACCACCTTTGGGCTGTTGAGAGGTTTGAGCTTGGGGGGGTGTGGCGACTTGCAGGTTTTGGAGTGTTTCTTTTTGATGTGTGTGTGTGTGTGTTGGTTTGGCCTGTTAAGTTAAACTTGACTGAATTGATTGAAGATCACTTGTGTTCGGCGTATTCAGTCGTTCTTTGTGTGCAGGATCGTTCTTTGGAGAAACACATTCCACCCTTCTCGAGGAATTCTGCAGAGAGGATGACTTTTGTTGAGCATTGCCAAGCTGTGAACTGGCGCTTGAAGACCTGGATTTGGTTCGTTTCGGCCTCTCACGCAGAATAGCTGTGAGCAGGAGCTCCAACACCTGCATGGGTTCGTTTTAGCCTTTGTGGCCTTGCCCCGCAGAAGATCGTCTTTGGGGCGCATTGGTGAGCCCTTTGGGCTCCAAGCAGCGGCACGTGCTTCCTCCGCTTCGTGCTCCAGCCGCACCTGCGGGTTGAAGGCAGACATGTTTAAGATTGTATACTTAATGTACATAGTTTATGTGAGCGTCGTTCAAAAACCCACCTCTTCCTTGTTAGTGATCGAATTTCAAAGGCTGATTTCGAGTGTGCTCTCACTGCAGTCGCGAAAGGTTCGCGAAGGTCCTGCGAAAGGTCTGCGCAAGTCATGTTGGTGACCTGGCCACGCTGCAAGAACAATTGCTCTTCAGACTTCCGATTGCTTTTTCCCGGGTTGGGAAAAAGCAAATTGGAAATCTGAAACAATTTTGCTTTTTCCCGGGCCGGGAAAAAGCAAATTGGAAGTCTGAGCCTTTTGCTTTTTCCAGGCCTGGGAAAAAACAAGTTGGAAGTCTGAACCATTTTGCTTTTTCCCGGCCCTGGAAAAAGCAAATTGGAAGTCTGAGCAAACTGGCCTGACTGAGCCGTCTCTTGTTCATGGAGGGTTGGGCAATCAAAATGGCTTGGTTGGAAGTCTTGACCATTTTGCTTTTTCCCAGCCCGGGAAAAAGCAAATTGAAAGTCTAGATCATTGGCCCGGGAAAAAGCAAATTGGAAGTCTGACTGAGCAAACTGGCCTGACTGAGCCGTCTCTTGTTCATGGAGGGTTGCGCCCAACCAAAAACACACCAGCATGAAAATGGCTTGGTTGGAAGTCTTGACCATTTTGCTTTTTCCCAGCCCGGGCAAAAGCAAATTGAAAGTCTAGACTCTAGACCATTTTGCTTTTTCCCGGCCCGGGAAAAAGCAAATTGGAAGTCTGAGCAAACTGGCCTGGCTGAGCCGTCTCTTTGTTCATGGAGGGTTGAGCGCAACCAAAGCCGGAAGTCTTGATCATTTTGCTTTTTCCCAGCCCGGAAAAAAGCAAATTGAAAGTGTAGGCCGGGAAAAAGCAAATTCAAAGTCTGAGTCAAATTGGGAAAAATCAGTTTATATCAGGGTTACAAACTAAAATCAAGGAGCTGTGGCCTAATGGATAAGGCGCCAGGCTCATAAGCAGCAGGTTGCGGGCTCGAATTCCACAGGCGCTGCTTGTTTCCAGGCCGGATTCCAAACTGCAAGCCTGATACATTTTGCTTTTTCCCGGCTTGGAAAAAAAGCAAACTCGAAGTCTGAACCATTTTGCTTTTTCCCGGCCCGGGAAAAAGCAAATTGGAAGTCTGAACCATTTTACTTTTTCCCGGCCCGGGAAAAAGCAAATTGGAAGTCTGGACCATTTTGCTTTTGCCGGCCCGGGAAAAAGCAAATTGGAAGTCTGGACCATTTTGCTTTTTCCCGGCCCTGGAAAAAGCAAATTGGAAGTCTGAACCATTTTGCTCTTTCCCGGCCCGGGAAAAAGCAAATTGGAAGTCTGAACCAATTTGCTTTTTCCCGGCTACTCGAAGTCTGAACCATTTTGCTTTTTCTCGGGTTGGGAAAAAGCAAATTGGAAGTCTGAGCCTTTTGCTTTTTCCCGTTGGAAGTCTGAACCATTTTGCTTTTTCCCGGGCC